AAAAAAAAAAAAAGAGTATGGCTTGGTGTTTCCTGTACCCATTCTTTCCACCTCCCCCTTCAAAAAATAAAAAGAGAACTATGGCTACTTTATTGATATGTGGCTTTATGAGGATTAAATTAAAATACCCTGGGAGGGTCCATAATGCAATGCGTGCCATACAGTAAACATCCAATAAAGGTTAAATAGTCCTATGTCATCACTGCCTGGTTATATGACCTTACCTCAGCTGAGGCTCAGTTTAACATATCTTATATGTATTAATCCCCCAGCCATGGGCCACGACGGTGAGCAGCTGCTAACAGACTCCGATTCCATGAGACTTTTTCTTTCTTACAGCGCAGGTGTGCATTGGAGTCATTGTGATGTTGATCATCCACAACTATTGGTTCCTTTACATCCCTTATTTGACGTGGCTTTACTTTGACTGGCATACCCCAGACCAAGGAGGCAGGAGATCCAACTGGGTCAGAAACTGGACTGTTTGGAAATACTTTAAGGACTATTTTCCAATCCATGTGAGTGCAATTGTTTTATAAAGTATTATTTTGAGTTAGCAAAAGAGTGGAAATTTGTTTTCATCACATATACCTCAAGCTTCTTTTTCAGAGGGGGTGTCTGAGTCTGTTTTGTGCTGCTATAACAGAATACCAAAGACTAGGTACTTTATAAAGAAAACTAATTTATGTCTCAACAGTTCTAGAGGCTGGAAAGGCCAATACCAAAGATGCCGGCATCTGGCAAGAGCCTTCCTGCTGCGTCAGCCCATAGCTGGAAGGGCAGGAGAGGCCAAGAAAGAGCAAGAGTGAATTGAATTCATTCTTCTTCTTCTTTTTTTCTTTTTTTCTGGAGACAGAGTCTCGCTCTGTCACCCAGGCTGGAGTGCAGTGGTGCAATCTTGGCTCACTGCAACCTCCGCCTCCCAGGTTCAGGCAATTCTGCCTCAGCCTCCCCAGTAGCTGGGACTTCAGGTGCAGGCCACTACACCCAGATAATTTTTGTATCTTTAGTAGAGATGACATTTGACCATATTGGCCAGGCTGGTCTCGAACTCCTGACTTCGTGATCTGCCCGCCTCGACGTCCCAAAATGCTGGAATTACAGGTGTGAGCCCCTGTGCCTGGCCGAATTCATTATTTTATAAGGAACTCACTCCCAAGATAACAAACGTAATTCTGTGATAATCCATTCACTCTGCTTTCATGGCCTAATCGCCTCTCATTGGGCCTCACCTCCTCCCAACACTGTTGCATTGGGGATTAAGTTTTTAAACATTTACTTTTGGGGCGACACATTGAAATCATAACAGGGAGAATGGCTGCAATTCAGTTCCAATTACTCAATGAACTGTCAGCCGACTTGACAAAATCTAGAAGTCTGTATCTAAAGGGATCTGGGCTCAGAAGATAGTTTAGAAATTTGGAAACAGCTCCAATCCAGGGAGCTAAAACGAGTCATGTTCTCCGTTTTCTCTTGACATAAAAACTAGTCCTTTTGTTGCTCATTGGAAAATAGTAAGGGAGCTTACTTTTTTTTTTCTTTCTTTAATCTCAATGTGAATGTGCCGTAGCTCATTAAAACTCAAGATTTGGATCCAAGTCACAATTATATATTTGGGTTTCACCCCCATGGAATCCTCGTGGCTGGAGCCTTTGGAAACTTTTGTACAAATTATTCCGACTTCAAGGAGCTGTTTCCTGGCTTTACTGCATATCTTCATGTGCTGCCATTTTGGTTCCGGTGTCCTCTCTTCCGAGAATATCTGATGAGCAGTGGTAAGTGATGGCAGATCACTGCTTCCACAGGGTAGCAGGTGCACACAGAACATTCCCTCCCAAGCCCACGTGTGTTTATGGTTTCTTAGAGTAAAACCTGTTTTTTTGGATTTTTTTTTTTTTGAGACGGAGTTTTTGCTTTTGTTGCCCAAGCTGGAGTGCAGTAGCACAATTTTGCTTCACTGCAACCTCTGCTTCCCAGATTCAAACAATTCTCCTGTCTCAGCCTCTCGAGTAGCCAGGATTATAGGCATGCGCCACCATGCCCAGCTAATTTTTGTATTTTTAGTAGAGATGGAGTTTCTCCATGTTGGTCAGGCTGGTCTTGAACTCTTGACCTCAGGTGATCCACCCACCTCAGCCTCCCAAAGCGCTGGAACTACAGGCGTGAGCCACCGCACACAGCCAAAACCTGTTTTATCTTCATCCGACACTTCCTATGCTGGCTGTGTGTTTCCTGCCCTCCCCCACTGGACTGTAAGTGTCAGAAAGACATATACTCTGTCCTTTTTTTTGTTCTATCCCAAGCATCTAGCATGGTGCCTGGAACATAGAAATGGTCAATGAATATGAACACAATGAACAAATAAAGTAATGAGTGGATTTTGTGTATTCAGGTGTAGAAAAAGAAATCGTGGACCAAGTAAGTGACAAATGACACCCTTGGAGAGGCACCATGCCTGCTGTTACGAATACGAGAAATGGAAAATGTCTTTTGTTGTGTCTTGAAGTAACAGCAGTGATAAAACTAAACATATTCAACTGGCTGTCTTCCTAGATTAAAAATAACTTGGCTCAGAAATAAGAGTTCAGGCCGGGTGCCGTGGCTCATGCCTGTGATCCCAGCACTTTAGGGGGCAGAAGCAGGCAGGTATCTCTTGAGCCCAGGAGGTTGAGACCAGCCTGGTCTACATGGCAAAACCCCATCTCCACAAACAATGCAAAAATTAGCCAGGCATGTTGGCATATACCTGTAGTCCCAGCTACTCAGGAGGCTGAGGTAGAAGGATCACCTGAGCCTGGGTGATCAATCAAGGCTGCAATAACTGGAGATGGTGCCCCTGCACTCCAGCCTGGGTGACAGAGTGAGGACCCATCACAAATAAAAAAATAATAATAAAAAGATGAGCTGAGCGTGGTGGTGGCTCACGCCTGTAATCCCAGCATTTTGGGAGGCCAAGGTGGGTGGTTCACCTGAGGTCAGGAGTTCGAGACCAGCCTGGCCAACATGGTGAAACCCAGTCTTTAGTAAAAAATTAGCCAGGCATGGTGTCAGGCACCTGTAATCCCAGCTACTTGGGAAGCCAAGGCAGGAGAATCACTTGAACCCGGGAGGCAGAGGTTGCAGTTGAGCCATTGCACTCCAGCGTAGGCGACAAGAGCGAGACTTGGTCTTAGTAAATAAATAAATATCAAAACACAAAAATTAGGGCATGGTAGTGGGTGCCGGTAATCCCCGGTTCTCAGGAGGCTGAGGTGGGAGAATTGCTTGAACCCAGGAGGTGGAGGTTGCAGTGAGCCAACACAGTGCCACTGCACTCCAGCCTGGGCGATAGAGTGAGACCCTGTTTCAAAAAATAAAGAAAAAAAAAGAATTCTTCATGGCGTTCCAGATTTTTATTACTTCCTGTGAATTTGTATGCCTAGTAGGATATCATTAAGCACCCAAGGACCGGGATTCACGGCCGGGTTTTCAGGTTCTGTTTTCTCAGTCCAGTCTGAGCCAGAGAGCACACTAGAGGGCACAGTAAACCCTCCAAGCTACCGGAAGATCTGGTATCTGACCTGCAGAGGGTGCACGATCCCCTTCTTAACCATCACAGGTTGCCGGCAGGGGTCGGGGAGGGTGGGGATTACTTCTCCTCCTTGTTTTGAATACATTGCATTAGAGTTTTAGAAAATTACAGGGAAAAATGTTTAAATTTCACAAAAGCACAGAAACATATTTAAAGTGTACTGCTTGCTTATTCAAAGCATTGTCACATCACAGGTGAGTTTTAGTCATATAGTTGAGAGCAGGTTTGGCAAATTCATGACACTAGAGATGTAGGAAGCTGCTTCTTCACGGCCATGTCAGACACATATATTCCATCTTAGAGTCTTTCTCCATATAGTGCCCCTACAGCTACTGCAGTTTACTAACGTTGGCTTTGGAGAGGAAACCTGTTTGCAATAACTGGTTTCATGTATATATATATATATATCTATATATATATATATATATATTTTTTTTTTAAGTTCTGGGATACATGTGCAGAACATGCAGGTTTGTTACATAGGTATACACGTTTCATGGTGGTTTGCAGCATCCATCACCCCATCATCTGCATTAGGTATTTTTCCTACTGCCATCCCTCCCCTATCCCCCGACCCCCCAACAGGCCCTGTGTGTGATGTTCCACTCCCTGTGTCCATGTGTTCTCATTGTTCAACTCCTACTTATGAGTGAGAACATGAGGCGTTTGGTTTTCTGTTCCTGTGTGTATTTGCTAAGAATGATGGTTTCCAGCTTCATGGAAGCATAGTATTCCATGCTGTATATGTGCCACATTTTCTTTATCCAGCCTATCACTGTTGGGCATTTGGGTTGGTTCCAAGTATTTGCTATTGTGAACATGCCTTAATAAACATATGTGTGCATCTGTCTTTATAACAGTGCAATCACTGGTTTCTGACATCATGAATTCTTTTCTGTGGTATAACCTTCAGTTGTTTCAGAATAGAAATATTCAAACTTTTAGCTGGTAGAGGTTTAGACTATCCTTGTCTCCAAGTCTAGAAAGTTCTCTGTACTTCCTAGAACTAGCTTTCTAGGACAGCCCTTGGTCCAAGGCTGCCCCTCTTCACTCTGCCTGCCCAAGTGGCTGCCTCTCTAGGTGTGAAAGACTGGCAGACATAGTCACCAGAGCTCACGTAGTAAGGAATCATGGGGCTTCAGAGGCCTTTGCTGACAGCAGTCTGTTTTGCTCTTTCCCAAGAGGATTCTGCATCTGCAAGTCCTTTTAAATCCCACCTCCAGCCCATTCCTCTGGTCCCATTTTGGTGTATCTATACCTATCCGGTGTCAGCCAGAGCTGACTGTGTCAGGGTTCATGTTCCTTTCTGGTTTTTTTTTTTTGTTTTTTTTTTTTGAGACGGAGTTTCGCTCTTGTTACCCAGGCTGGAGTGCAATGGCGCGATCTCGGCTCACCGCAACCTCCGCCTCCTGGGTTCAGGCAATTCTCCTGCCTCAGCCTCCTGAGTAGCTGGGATTACAGGCACGCGCCACCATGCCCAGCTAATTTTTTGTATTTTTAGTAGAGACGGGGTTTCACCGTGTTGACCAGGATGGTCTCGATCTCTTGACCTTGTGATCCACCCGCCTCGGCCTCCCAAAGTGCTGGGATTACAGGCTTGAGCCACCGCGCCCGGCTGTTCCTTTCTGTTTACTCCTTAAGGCTGGACAGGTAACAGGATCATGACAGCCTTATATACCACACAGGGGACTTCAGATTTTTTGTTTGTTTGTTTGTTTGTTTGTTTTTTGAGACGGAGTTTCACTCTTGTTACCTAGGCTGGAGTGCAATGGCGTGATCTCGTCTCACCGCAACCTCCACCTCCTGGGTTCAAGCAATTCTCCTGCCTCAGCCTCCCGAGTAGTTGGGACTACAGGCGCGCACCACCATGCCCAGCTAATTTTTGTATTTTTAGTAGAGACAGGGTTTCACCATGTTGACCAGGATGATCTCGATCTCTTGACCTCGTGATCCACCCGCCTCAGCCTCCCAAAGTGCTGGGATTACAGGCTTGAGCCACCGCACTGGCCCAGATTTTAGATTTTATCTTGTAGATAAGCCATGGGGAACTTGGAGGGATTTTGAGCAAAGGAGGGATCTGATGGATTTTGTGTGATAGAAAGATAATTCAGGCAACAGACTGGAGAGTGGTTAGAGGCAGGTAGGCCTGGAGATTGTGATGATGGTGGGGACCTGCTGAGTGATGAAGGGAGAGGTGATAAGGGCTGAGGTAACATTGGCAATGGCACTGGAGATACAGAAGAGGAGATTAATATTAAAAATATTTGATAGGGTCACTAAGACTTAGTGATGGATTCATCCTCACGAAGGCAACCACTGTATTTTGTCATTATTAACATCTAGCCCAGTACCTGGCCTGTAGCAGGTGCTCAATAAATGCTTTTAAATGAATGAATGATCAGTCATTTTGGTGGCTGAGAAAGGGAAACGTGGCTACATATGGGTTTTGACCAAATAGATGATGGTCCCATTCACCTTGATAAATAGTGTTGGAAGAGGGACCACTTTGAGGGAGAATTTAATGCATTTGGTTTGGAGATGTGTAATTTGAGGTGTCTTAGAGCTGTCAATGTAGAGATGTCAGTTAGGCAATTGGAGATATGGGCCTGGAACCTCAGGAGGAAGATCTCCTGACAGATGGATTTGGGAGAACTCAGCACACATAAATGGTGGTTAAATCCATGGGTGTTAGAGGACAAGAGAGATAATGAAGGACCTCTAATAAATAGCAGCATTGGGCCAGGCATGGTGGCTCACGCATGTAATCCCAGCACTTTGGGAAGATGAGGTGGGCGGATCACCTGAGGTCGAGAGTTTGAGACCAGCCTGACCAACATGAAGAAACCCCATCTCTACTAAAAATACAAAAAGTAGCTGGGTGTGGTGGTGCGTGCCTGTAATCCCAGCTACTCGGGAGGCTGAGGCAGGAGAATCGCTTGAACCTGGGAGGTGGAGGTTGCGATGAGCCGAGATGGCGCCATTGCACTCCAGCCTGGGCAACAAGAGTGAAACTCCATCTAAAAAAAAAGAAAGAAAAAAGAAATGGCAGTGTTGACCTGAAGACAGGGATAAGGAGGGAAAACTGCGAGTGGCCAGAGACAAGTAGCCAGAGGCCAGAGCCAGGTGTATGGAAACCCAAGAGGCCCTCTTCCTTGTGGGAGAGATGCACCCAGCTGTCACGCAGGTTCACACAGAACAGAATGGCACGCCTTGACCACAGTGAAGGTTCAAACCAGTCTAGGCGGGCTCAGGTTCTCTATCTCTAACCTAGAATCCTCTGCCTCTTAAGAGGATAGTTGGTCATTCAAAATCCTGTCATAATTCCTCCCATAATAGAAACCCAGAGTAAAACTGGCATATCATTTCCTTCAAGAGATGTGATATGCTATGTCTTTATAAAGCCCGTCTAACACATTCTGTTATGACTGAATAAAAATGGATAAAGCCCAGAATAGAAGGAAACATAAGACATTAAAAAGTGATTATTTCTGAAATGTAGGTCAAGAGTGGTTTGTATTTTTGTCTTTGTTCTTTCCTATATTTTCCTCCAAGAGTATGCAGAACATGTAAAATCTGAAAAGGAATCTTTTAAGTTATTTTTACATCAGAAAGCCTGAAATACAGACTGAACAATTATCTGTTTTAAATGAACAATTTACCAAAGTCAGACTACACATTTTGAAAATGTGTAGAGAGCTGGCAAGTGATCAAAGTTGTCAAATGTCTTGATTTTTTTTTTTTTTTCACTGTTTGTATTAGTTCATTTTCACACTGCTGATACCCAAGGCATACCCAAGACTGGGAAGAAAAAGAGGTTTGATGAACTTATAGTTCCACATGGCTAGGGAGGCCTCATAATCATGGTGGAAAGCAAGGAGGAGCAAGTCACGTCTTACATGGATGGCGGCAGGCAAAGAGAGAGAGGTTGTGCAAGAGGACTCCTGTTTATAAAACCATCAGATCTCATGAGACTTATTCACTATCATGAGAACAGCATGAGAAAGACCAGCCTCCATGATTCAGTTACCTCCAACTTGGTGCCTTCCATGACACAAAAGAATTGTGGGAGTTACAATCCAAGATGAGATTTAGGTGGGGACACAGCCAAACAGTATCACATTTATATTAGAAGTCCAGGTTTGGAAAATAATTATCCATATAGAATATCTGAAAACAGGCCATCGTATATTCAGAAAATCCACTGCAGACTCTTGGAGAATATACCTTTTGGTTTTGTGTAAAAATTCACCAGGGTAAGTATCAAGACCACCACATACAGCTGTGTAGGTTGTGCACTGAACAACTCTAGGGGCAGGGGATTCTTTTACTTAGAATGCAATATAAATGGTATCCTGTAGAGTTCAGCAGTGCACAGCCTACCTAAAGAAACAAGTGGTAGACCTAGTAATGATTAGATGACATTTTAAAGACCTAGCCCAATTACCTGCCAAAATGCTAACATATTAATAGAATGCATTACTAAAGATTCAGCTATGAAAAATTACAGACCTGCAAAGTGCTCCAGAGGTAAGCAGTGTAGGAAATGTGGTTAAATGTTTACTATTGTCGTGGAAGATTATGATAAAACATAACTTTTTTAAAAGGATAATTAGTTACACTTTTTGTTTTATTCACTAAGGGCCAGTTTCAGTTTCCAAGGAAAGTGTGTCCTATGTGCTAAGCAAGGACGGAGGTGGAAACATCTCTGTCATTGTCCTTGGGGGTGCAAAAGAATCACTGGACGCCCATCCTGGAGAATTCACTCTGTTCATCCGCCAGCGGAAAGGATTTGTTAAAATTGCTTTGACCCATGGGTAAGTGGCTTTTTGTATAAAGTAGTGGGTCAGGAAAGTTAAGACGTTACTGAACAAACCACGAAGAAGTGAGGTGATTTTCTAACCCTTAAAGACCTCCTCCAAGTCGATCTGACAATAAACGCAGGTGTGGAAGTTCTTGGGGAATGGAATATGACCTTTTTACCACAGTAGCCAATGCCATGACATTCAGCAATTAAACTTCACTCTAAAAGCAAAACAACAAGAACAACAACAAACACCAACATTCTTCCTATACACACAGTGTAATTTTCCAGCCAAATAAACAAACAGCCTTCACTCTGCCATCAGGCTGGAGTGCAGTGGCGCGATCTTGGCTCACTGCAACCTCCACCTCCCGAGTTCAAGCCATTCTACTGCCTCAGCCTCTCGAGTAGCTGGGACTACAGGCACGTGCCACAGCACCCAGCTAATTTTTATATTTTTAGTAGAGACAAGGTTTCACCATGTGGGCCAGGATGGTCTTGATCTGTTGACCTCGTGATCCACCTACCTTGACCTCGCAAAGTGCTGGGATTACAGGCGGGAGCCACTGTACCTGGCCTGGAACCTTTCTCTTCTTTTCTTTTTTTGAGACAGGATCTCACTCTTGTTGCCCAGGCTGGAGTGCAATGGCATGATCTTGGCTCACTGCAACCTCTGCCTCCTGGGTTCAAGCAATTATCCTGCCTCAGCCTTCCAAGTAACTAGGATTATAGGTGTACACCACCATGACCTGCTATTTGTTTTATATTTTTAGTAGATACAGGGTTTCTCCATGTTGGTCAGGCTGGTTTCAAACTCCCGACCAGGTAATCTGCACACCTTGGCCTCCCAAAGGTCTGGAATTACAGGTGTAAGCCACCGTCCCCGGCCACCTGGAACGCTAATTTTCTATAGAATATAATTCCATCTGTTAATGGCTAGCCTACTGAAGTTCCTCCCCAAAGAATGTCAAGTTTAAGGCAGTTTCAATGAACATGAAGTTACCAATATAGGAAGGCTTGGGCACATTAAAAAAAATTTTAAGGATTTGTCGCAAGAGTCTGCTGGACAGAATAAGTTATTTGAATCCTTTTCATTGAAAATTCTCATCTGTTCCCTTTGTTATTGCAGCGCCTATCTGGTCCCAGTGTTTTCTTTTGGTGAAAATGAACTGTTTAAACAAATTAGCAACCCTGAAGGCTCATGGCTTAGAACTGTTCAAGAGAAACTACAGAAGATCATGGGGTTCGCTTTGCCCCTGTTTCACGCCAGGGGAGTTTTTCAGTACAATTTTGGCCTGATGCCGTATAGGAAAGCCATCCACACTGTTGGTATGTACATAAAATGACTACAATTATTAGCTTACTTTAAGCAGTGTTTCCTGTTATTGACTGAGGTGCTAATGCAAGAAAAGTGGCTTTGAGTAAGAACTTTCTAAAATAATAACCCTGTAGATGTTATTTGAGTTTTGTTTTTGATATTCCTTTTTTTTATGAAATGACTACATTTTCCACTAGAATAGGAATTGATTGTTTTCAAGAATACTTCTATTGGGCCAGGCGCAGTGGCTCACGCCTGTAATCCCAGCACTTTGGGAGGCCGAGGCGGGTGGATCATCTGGGTCCCGAGACCGGCCTGACCAACATGGAGAAACCCCATCTCTACTAAAAATACAAAATTAGCCTGGCGTGATGGTGCATGCCTGTAATCCCAGCTACTCAAGAGGCTGAGACAGGAGACTCATTTGAACCCAGGAGACAGAGGTTGCAGTGAGCTGAGATCGAGCCATTGCACTCCAGCCTGGGCAGCAAGAGCAAAACTCTGTCTCAAAAAAACAAAAAGAAAAACAAACAAAAAAAGAAAACACAGATACTGCTATTAAACTACAATAAAATAAAATCCAATTTTTGAAATAAAGTTTCTAATACTCTGTAATAAATCTATTTCTTTGTGCCCGCTGATTATAACAGCAATTCTTTGATGACAAGTTCTATCAGAGTTTACGGATAGATTTAAATTTCTGTGTGATAAATGTCCTCATCATGTTCAGTTCACATAGGCATCAGTTTCTATAGCAAAAGCTTTTTTTTTTTTTTTTCAGCTCTCTCTATATATTCTGCTATAGACTTATTTTATTTTTTAATTTTTAAAATTTCAGTAGGTTTTTGGGGAACAGGTAGTATTTGGTTACATGAATAAGTTCTTCAGCGGTGATTTCTGAGATTTTGGTGCACTCATCACTGGAGCAGTGTATGTCATACCCAATGTCATCTTTTATCCCTCACTCACCTCCCACTCTTTCTCTGAGTCCCCAAAGTCCACTGTATCATTCTTTTTTTTTTTTTTTTTTTTTTTTTTTTTTTTTTTTTTTTTTTTTTTTTTTTTTTTTTTTTTTTTTTTTTTTTTTTGTTTTTTTTCACTGTATCATTCTTAATGCCATTGTGTCCTCATAGCTTAGCCCCCACTTATGAGTGAGAACATACGATGTTTGGTTTTCCATTCCTGAGTTACTTTACTTAGAATAATGGTCTCCAGTTTTATCCAGGATGCTGCAAATGCCATTATTTCATTCCTTCTTATGGCTAAGCAGTAGTCCATGGTGTGTGTGTGTGTGTGTGTGTGTGTGTGTGTGTGTGTGTGTATCACAATTTCCTTATCCACTAGATGATTGATGAGCACTTGGGCTGGTTCCATATTTTTGCGATAGCAAATTGTGCTGCCATAAACATATGTGTGCAAGTATCTTTTTCACATAATGATTTTTTTTCCTCTGGGTAGATACCCAGTAGTGGGATTGCGAGAAAAAATGGTAGTTCTACTTTTAATTCTTTAAGGAATCTCTACAGTTTTCCCCAGTGGTTGTACTAGTTTACATTCCCACCAGCAGTGTGGAAGTGTTCCCTTTAAACCACATCCACACCAACGTCTATTATTTTCTGAATTTTTGATTATGGACATTCTCGCAGAAGTAAGGTGGTATCGCATTATGATTTTGACTTACATTTCCCTGATCATTAATGATGGTGAGCATTTTTTCATACATTGATTGGGCATTTGTGTATCTTCTTTTCAGAATTGTCTATTCGTGTTTATAGCCTACTTTTTGATGGGATTGTTTTGTTCTTGCTGATTTGTTTGAATTCCTTGTCGATTTTGGCTGTTAGTTAGACCCATTTTATTTCAAAAAGTTGCATGTTTGGGAGAATCCAGTTGGAGGAGGAGGATGAAGACCATGTTGACAAAAATGCTGAGGAGTTAGCCAAGTGTGGTAGCACACGCCTGTAATCCCAGCACTTTGGGAGGCTGAGACAGGAGGATTTCTTGAGCCCAGGATTTCGAGACCAGACTGGGCAACAAAGCTAGACCTCATTGCTACAAAAAAATTTTAAAATTGGCTGGGCACCGTGGCATGTGCATGTAATCCCCATGCTTTGGAAAGCTGTGACAAGAGGAGCACTTGAGCCCAGGATTTGGAGATTGTCATAAGCTATGATTCCACCCTGGCACTCTAGCCTGGGTGACAGAGCAAGACCCTATCTCAAAACAAACAAACAAACATAAAAACCCAGGAGCAAAGTATTTAGCTCCTCAGACTGGAAGAGGATTGGAGAGCTGAGATGAGAAAGTGCTGAGCCAGGCACTAATAGCAGAATGGCTAAAACTATAAACTTAATATGAAGCTGGAAGTCATATGTTCACCATGGGTAGCCCATTAAGTGAAATTCACATTTAGTCAAATATTGTTTTTGGTCTGTTTTGCTAGGCTAGGATTTTACTACCATCAGTTTATAAGTGGTTTCCATTTCATGTGCAATCACATGAAGGGAGGGAAAGGGAGGGGAGTAGGGGTAGGAGAGAGGAATAGAGGAGGGGACGGGGGTGGGAGTAAGGGAGCGGAGGGGAGGGGAGTAGGGCGAGGGGAAGAGAAAGGGTTCTTTCCATTGGTAGGCTTGCCTTGATGGCTTGTGGCTGATGCTCCGGCACTAGCCACATAGAGACTGATCTTGGCATTGAGAAGTCATTTATTATGCAGCAGCTGGATGTACAGAAGGAAGTGGTGTGGGTTTGAGGTCTGACTCTGAGTGACTTTGAATGTTTCATTTATCTTCTCTGAACCTCCGAGTTTACAGCTATGAAAGAAGAGACCGTTATAATGTTTCCGTCTTCTCACAGGGTTATTATGGGGATTAAATGTCATGATACTTGGGAAGGCACTCTAGACTCCAGGTGCTAGGCAAATGCAGGTTGGTAAAAGGAGTCAAGGCCTCCTGACCAGCTTGTTGAGAGCTTTCAAGTGTGTTTCCATTTCCCTGTATAAGTAACTTGCCAAAATGTTAATCTGAATCAAATCATGAGGAAATAATCAGACAAATCCAGATTGTGGGACATTGTATAGAACAATGTCCTGGACTCTTTAAAAATATCAGTGTCGGTCAGGTACAGTGGCTCATGCCTGTAATGCCAGCACCTTGAGAGGCCGAGGCAGGCAGATCATGAGGTCAGGAGATCAAGACCATCCTGGCTAACACGGTAAAACCCCGTATCTACTAAAAATACAAAAAATTAGTCAGGCGTGGTGGCAGCTACTCATGTGGCTGAGGCAGGAGAATCGCTTGACTTGGGGAGGTGGAGGTTGCAGTGAGCTGAGATCGCACCACTGCACTCCAGCCTGGGAAGCAGAGCGAGACTCTGTCTCAAAAA